CGGCGGAGCCCCTCGCCGTCGACGTCACGCGCAGGAGCGCTGCGGTTGGCCCGAAGGAGGGGACTCCCGGCGCGGCGGAGCCAATCGGCAAACGGCAGGAGGCGCGGTAGAACGCCGCGGCTGATGAGCGGAGTTGCAGCGTTCCATGGAGGCGGAGCTTGAGGCAGATGGAAAGGGGAAGGCGGGAACTCGGGCGCCGAAGGAGGGGCGTGCCGCAGCGGAAATGCTGCCAGCTGGTTCCGTGGAGCAGACTTCCCTGTTCATCCAACTGGGTGGGGGAGGATGGGAGTTGTAGTCCGGCGGTTGCAGAACGTTGCTGCAGAAGTCCCGTTTCTCCAACCTACAGTTTGCGCTTGTGGCTGGCTTTACACAACGGAGTAACACCTGGGGCCCTCCGCCACGCAGGGCCTTGTCTATCTGCGGGTAGAGTGTTGTGGGAACCCAGACCATGGTGGTCGATTCAGCTTAGCGTGATTGCAGATCTCAGTGTCTAGGTAGCCTGAATTTTGCCCTCAAAAAGCTGGTGCCAAAATGCCCTAAAAGTTCGGCGCAAAAAAAATGGTCTGCAAATAGGCGAAGAACCAGTGGCCAAAATGTCCTTAAAATAGAGGGGCTGTTAGATGAGTTGCCCTTTTCTTTTTTTTTAATTTGTTACTGTTGATCATGAATTACTGTATATCTTTTGTTTTTGTTCATCATTTTTTTAAATTTATTTTTTTGTAGTGAGTTGGTTTCTTTCTGTATTTGTCGGTATTTTTAACAAGGCTGGTAATAAAGTTTTAAGAAATAATCAAGATGCTCCTCAGAAGCCAGACTGAACGGTTGTGTGTCCTGGTTAAGAACAAAGCCACCATGTTCTCACATGTTAGCTAATCCATGGTTAACTAAAGCATGGATTACTGAAGTAGCAGAATTGCCCAGGTTTGCACAACCAATGGAATCAGGCAACACACAATTGAGCTTAGTGTGTTGTATGCACGCAGCCTTATACTTTATGCTGCTCCTTGAGTTTCCAGGACTGAAGGAATGGACTTACTGAAAAAGCTTTAGGAACATTATTTAGCAATTTTATTTAGTGACTTTTAGTAATTTAGCATCCAAATTACGCTAGCCACAAGGGGGCCACATAACATTTCAAATTACGCTGGAAAACCGAGAATGCCAACCCAGCTACTTTGTCTTCACCCCTGGCCACGCAACCTTCTACTTAAAGAGCATGACGGAAACACCAGAGAGCATGGCTGTGATGCGGCTCTGTTTCGCAGGAGGAGATCTAAAAAAAAAAAAAGGATGCATTTACTAAGAGCCTTCAGAGTGAGGAGGAGGCCCATGCCCTGACATTTGCATTTTTGGAATTTGAATCCAAAAAAGCAAGAACCTGGGATGGGTGGGGGTTTTTTTGACCTAATCTGTTGTGTGAATGAATCCAGCTCTTGTAGTTACAAGCCAGGGTTAATGGTTCAATGCATGAAGTCATCCACGATGGCTTATTAAATAAACTGTGGTTTAGCCAATGTACCAACCCAACTGTTTGCTCTAAATCAGTCCAGAGATGTGGAGTCCTTGGGGTTCTCTGAGCTTGGTTCTGTTCTTGCAAACGTTTCATTACCCGGCTAGGTGACATCTTCAGTGCTAAAATGGGATGGGGT